CTCACTGTCTCTCTCTGTCAAATAAATAAATAAAATCTTTAAAAATATATATATATATATACCTTAAAAGTGCTATTTTGGTAGGCTCTCAAGGAGTCAGTAATGTAAGATTATGTGGCTGTATATCAGTAGTCAACCGACTGTCATTTTAACTAACTGGCAACACTTCTCCAAGGTTATTGATAATCTCACATTCCCAAATTGCTGTGCATGGAAGAGCCACATTGCTATACCTGTCCCCTTCTTAGCAAGGTGACGTAAGCCAAGATGGTCAGAGTCTGCAGCTCTGTGTCTGCAGCGGGTTCTTCATCTCACTGTGTGGGTCATAAAACTATGTTCATTTATTCCATAACTGCAAAGTGTCTACTCCAAGACAGATCCTGGTGTTAGGAAGAGGAAGACTCCATCCTTGTTCACAGTCAAGTAGCAGGAGATAGGGAAAAATAGAAGAGTGAATGGGATGAAGTGCATCAACATTTTACCAGCTCTGTTGATGCTGTGGACCAGTCATGCCCCTCATTTACATAAGCCTGCCCTCATATAGTATCCAGAGTCAATGCTTTTAAAGTGAAGATTAGAAACAAAGTAAAAAAACAAAACCGCAAGAAAACTCCCTGTGTTCTTTAGTGAAGATGAGGGATCAGAACTGGCATATTTCCTTATATTGCTAGGTAAGCAGGTTTGAGCTAGATATGTCAGCATTAGCTGGCCCCTGTTAACAACAGGGTCGGGTTTTCGATGAAGCGTCATATGTTTATCCTTAGACCACAGGAGCGCATCTGGATTAGGAGGACTGCTGTCGTTTTATGCCAGGATTTAAATAGTAGAAAGTAGGGAGATCTAATTATTAGAAAAAGTAACACGCCAGAAGTAGCGTCACTGTATTAAGCAATAAATGTATCGTACTTTCTCTGGATAAGTTCTTTATATTTTCTTGTCAAGTTAAAAGGATGCCTCCCTGCAGACAGGGAATGACCAAAATGGATTGGCCTTCTATCTGACAAGCATCTTGTAGGTGACCAGTTGTGTTGTAATTTTAGATAATCATGTTAAATTAAGCAATGAGGTATGACAGGATGCA